GTTTAGAGCCTCATATCTCGCGAATGAAAAGAGAAAACCGAAAAATGTTAAAGAACCTATTAACTAACTTTTTGTCCTCTACCAAATATCAAAAAACATTTTTTGTGACATAAGCACTTTAAAATACGCGTGGGCTTCACGGGAGCTGAACAATGACTAAAGTTTTCCGATCGATGTTTTTCAATTTTTGCACAAAAATGCTCATTTTCAATGGTTAATACCCTACCTATAAAAGCTAAACACCAAATGAAAAGGTAAGATTGATACAACTGCAGTCCATATTATTCTGTATTCAGTTCAAATCGAAACTGATTTCTGTCTACAAAATCCATCAAAAACTACTCGCTTCTTGATACCCACCGTTAATATTCTTATGTGCATGGAATCAAATTAACGAAATAAAATCAGCGTTTAAATAAATAAGCTAGATATAAACACGAATACATTACCTCGCGGCCAAGCCACATGAAATAGCTGGTAGCGAATGATGACTATCATCTTGTTTTTCTTCTGAAATTGAACTGAAAGAGAAACAATATTGCAATTGTTCGGCTGTCGGAACCTTTTCCTCGTTTTTGAAGAACGTTGCATTGTACTGTGTGTGTGTATATATTGTATAGGAACCAATATATTGAATTATTATTCGGTTTTCGCATAATACAGTATGAAGAATTATCAAGCCCTCAGTTGGCCGTTATCAAACTCAGCCTACGGCTTCGGTTGATAACGGCAAACTTCGGGCTTGATAATTCTTCATATCGTGCTCAACCTCATTCAATAATTGTTAATAAGTGCCTGGATACCATCTCTCACTGAAATTTGATGTCACATTTTGGAGCTCACCTCCAAAGTGTATATATATACATATTAAAATTACTTACAGGATTTTAGCTTGAAGCTGCGAGATATCACTTTTCAACTGTTTTACTTCGTCTTTGTGAATCTCAATTTCCTAGAATTTACAGAAAATTAACCAATTTTATAATGCGATAACGCAATAACTATGAAATTTTACATTGCCTAATTTAACTGATAAAACTGACTTGTATAGTACTTAAGTTAATTCAAGACTACAGTACTGTCTTCGATTTTATATCAATCTAATTGTTATAGAAGATTTTGCTGCAAGTCGAATCCCTCTTAAGCCAACGTGTCATGCTTAAAAGGAGTGTCCGCTTATTATAGGGGTTTGCAATAGCGAAATGTAAGCCTTCAAAATGTACACCTGTCCAATAACTGTACGTACAAACGTTATACCTTTTTCATGATCATATTTTGAAGAGCTACTTCTTTAGTTTGATCATTCATTGAGAGAATGGCTTCCTGTAGTATATAAGAAAACAATTAAGGCACTTTATTCCCAGCTTTGTAACACCACTGAAAAGAAAGCTAGTCTGCGCCTTTGTTTTTATACACTCACCTCAGTAAAAAGATCTCGTACGTTGTTGTTGAGAAGTTCTTCCTTCGCAAGGCTTGTTGCTGTGTCTTCGTTGATTGTAGTTAATAGTTCTTCTAATTCATTCTGGATGAGAACAGAAATGTACACGCGTAAAAAGATGTCATGCACTGCTTGTTCCCAGTTTTTTCTGTGTTGGTGTTGTGTACTCAGGTGAATATGATGTTTGTGATGTTACTCTGAGTGTATATCCACACCGGGCGAGCTTGAAAAATATGCCTGGCCACGGTGGGAATCGAACCTACGACCTTTGGAATACTAGCCCAATGCTC